TTCTCCAATACTACTTGTATCATAAACAATACCGTAAATTAGCATACCAAATTATTATTTGCTTGTGAGCTAACACTAAGGTGGTGGTTGCTAGAGAGAATTAACTTGGATAAGATTACTTGTTATATTAGAGATATATTTGAAAGAATAAATAAATGACAACTTCCATACTTTGTAAGTTGAAAGTTACTCATAAAGAAAAATTATTCCTGCTAGTCCTAGCAAAAATAGTAGAATTATATTAAGGGATAACTTTTCTTCTATTGAGTACCTTCAACTTAGACAAAATAAGCGCATTGTCATTAATTTTTTCCTTCAAAATATGTTTAAGATAGTATATTATCTTAGTCAAGTCAATCCTCCCTAACAAATGTCATCTAAATGTCTTGTAGCATCGTTACTATTCCAGCTTACACGAACAAAAAAGAAATGAAACCGAGCTTATAATCATTAACTCAAGTGGTAGAATTTAGTTGAATTCACAAATTAAAAAGTAGGTGTTTAACCATTGAGTACCTTTTTCGAAAAGAAAAAAAAAACCATATTTTAAATTATTTTAATTTATAAATAGGAAATTTAAACTCAAATACAGAGAACAGTTACACCGCTTTGACAACTAATCTAGCTCAGATATGCAACTAGGAACTTTTAATAGAGCAAAAATCATTTATTCATAATTGAGACAAAGCTAGAGATGAAACTTTACCCACTTGGATTTGATGATACAAATATAAAATAACATAGATATATTGAAATGGACTAAAAGTACTGAATCAACACCAACAACATTTTATAATTAATATTGATCCTAGCTAGCTAGTATACAAGGTTAGTTGAGGAAAAGGTCAGCGTTTATCTCTATAAATAGGCCTCATTTCTCAAGTCCATAACACATGCTTAATATCTATTACAAAGTTTTCATACATACCTTTCCTCTAGCCACCTTGTTGTTGTCCTACTTAGCTAGCTATACCAAATTTACGAAATGGCTGCTGCCAACACCCACCACCTTCATTCAGTATCAAAAGTAGGGATTATAGGGGCAGGTATTAGCGGAATCGCCGCCGCTAAACAGCTTTCAGGTCATAGTCCGGTGGTCTTTGAGGCCACTGATTCCATTGGGGGTGTTTGGAAACATTGTTCTTACAACTCTACCAAACTCCAAACCCCTCGTTGCGATTTCGAGTTTTCTGACTACCCATGGGCTGAGAGAGACAATTCATCTTTCCCTTCTCATGTAGAGGTATTGGAGTACTTGCATGGCTATGCCACACACTTTGACCTATTGAAATATGTCAACTTTGAGTCCAAAGTGGTGGAACTACGTTATGTTGGTGGTATTGGTCATCAAACCACCACCCAATTTTCCAGGATTTCGAACTCTGAGGAGTATGGGAACCTTTTGAATGGTGATCCTGTTTGGGAGGTCGCTGTTCAGATGTCCAGCAATCCAAGCACCATTTAGGTTGTTCTTTCTAAAAATTGAGTTTTACATGTCTTTTAATGCATGCTTCTTGTTATTTCTGATAAATTTGCATTCCTAATTCTAACTTTATTCATATAAACTTGTATATTAATAGTTACTGATAAATCCTGTACAACCATAAAGTATATTTATTGATCACATCTCTCACATATACAACAAGATATACATCTAAAGTTTTACATACAATCATCAATATAAACACATTTTGGAAAGATTCGTCTCTCAAATTTGACCAAAAAATTACGTAAAATTTTTAATTAAATTTTGGTAATATATGTGGGTTATTAACTAATTTTCCCTACCTTATTTTGGACCTAGCAGTGGTATGCATTCGAGTTCATAGTAGTTTGCATTGGAAAATATGGAGACATACCAAGAATGCCGAATTTCCCGCGCAACAAAGGTCAAGAAGTATTTCAAGGCAAAGTCTTGCACTCCATGGATTACTCTAAGCTTGACCAACAAGCAGCTCGCGAGCTCCTCAAAGGCAAGAAGGTTGCAGTTATTGGCTACAAGAAGTCAGCTATTGATATGGCAATTGAGTGCGCAGAGGCAAACCAAGGTATATACAAAATATTAAAATCTGATCCTACATCCTAATCATATTATTAATTCTAAAGACATAACAAAATGAGATGTGCTATCTAGACACTATTTTTTACTTTATACACATCTTGTTAATTTATTGTTATTAAATCGATTGAATTAAAAAAATATCATAACATAAATTAATAAAAAGTATGTAAAAAGTAAACACATCCGTACAAAATTAATTATCAATATTGAAGCAAAAAAAAATCCAATATTTTGTTATCTCAGTAGCCACCTAATGGGACATATATATGGTCAATCTGGTGGGAACTGTCAGTCTGAAAAGTAACATGAGCAACATAGATTAGGCATTAAACTCAGTTCAGTTGACCACTTTACCAATTATAGCTTGCTTTGAGGCTTTAGCACCTACTTTATTGGCCTTGTCCATAATTGGCATCACTTTGTAGCACACCATGATCACTCTAGATAAAATAAAATAAACACTAATAAAAAAGATTTGAAAACTTTGAGTTTTAATGATAAGATAAAATAAAGGGTAAAATAAATAGTACCAGGATTAACTTTTTAATGTAAAAATAGGGTTTTTCGTTAAAATACAGTACCGTAGACTTTTCGTTAAAACTTCTTAAAACAAAATCATTTGTAACAAATGATCCCCGGGTTCTTTAATTTTGTTTTTCTATTAAAAAAAATACGATAGAAATTTGAGATATCTATTAACATTTAAAAGAGAAATATCACTAAATTAAGAGTCAGTTATTTTTTTTTCTTTTTTCTTCCGATTGAATGCTCTAAATCATTCAAACATAAATTGACAGTTTTGGTGTGCTTTATTTTTTATTGTGGTGAATTCAAGGTCCCGATGGGCAGGCATGCACAATGGTAATAAGGACTCTACATTGGACAGTTCCATCTTATTGGATTTGGGGACTTCCATTTTTCCTTTTTTTTTCAACAAGGTCATCTCAGTTCCTCCATGAAAGGCCAAACCAGAACTTATTCCGAGCCTTGTTTTGCCTTCTTTCATCACCTATGGTAAAAATACATATTTCTTAACACATTCATTTTACCCTAATCGTTAGTACTCTATATGCTTTGTTAGCTATTTTTTACTAACTATTATTTTGCTTTTTTTTTTTCTTTCTTTTTTTTTTTTTAACCAGAGGATGGCAATTTCCAAGTTCATAGAATCATACTTAAAGTGGAAGCTTCCCCTTGTGAAGTATGGACTAAAGCCAGATCATCCATTTTTGGAGGATTATGCTTCTTGCCAGATGGCTATTTTGCCGGAGAATTTCTTCGCTGAGGCGGACAAGGGCAAAATATTGTTCAAAAAGTCACCAAAGTGGTGGTTTTGGAGCGGAGGAATTGAATGTGAAGACAACACCAAATTGGACGCCGATGTTGTGCTTCTTGCAACTGGCTATGAGGGAAAGCAGAAACTCCAGTCTATATTGCCCGAGCCTTTCCGCAGTCTCATGGTTGACTCCTCTGGAACTATGCCCTTGTATAGGTAAACCCTAATTACTGTCAAATATTTGACGTTTTATGTCTTCATACTGCCAATATGACACAAAACTCATTTACTAATAGTTTAAATTGTACTGTTATGTCGTCATATTACCAAACTGACATGAACACATTTATTAATAGTCGATATTGACAATATAATTTACATGTACAAACACATTGAGAGTCTAATTATTGATTAATAACAAGTGGTAGCGTGTACATACATACATACATACATATATATATATATATATCCCTAAATATATATAATTAACTTAAAAATGTAATGATTGAACATGAATGTTATTTCAGGGGTACGATCCATCCACTGATTCCCAACATGGCATTCGTTGGATTCATAGAGAGTGTTTCTAACCTGCACACAGCAGAGTTGAGATGCAAATGGTTAGGAAGATTGGTTGACAACGAATTCAAGCTTCCGACTGTCCAAAAAATGCTTGAACAGATAGGCAGAGAGATGGAAGTGATGAAGAAGACAACCCGATTTTACAAGAGGCACTGCATTTCAACTTTCAGTATCAACCACAGCGACGACATTTGTGAAGAGATGGGATGGAAATCTTGGAGGAAAAGTAACTGGCTTTCAGAAGCTTTTAGCCCCTATAACAGCCGAGACTACAAAGAAGTTGACTATTGAACCCAAACATGTACTTTTGCGCTACAAAAAATGAGCGAATTCGAAGCTTCGAAGCTTGTTCTGGAGTGCCTATTAGCTCCCTATCAAGTCTTATTACGTAATTAACCTAGTTTTTAAGCTCTTAAGCGCCCCATATGTTGATTTAAGCATTTCTTTTTCATATTATTCATAAGCTGTGTTTAGCTGCTTGATCAATAAAATAACAAAATTATGCTTTTGTTATTATATTGTTATATACAAATCTCATATATCACTGGCTCACATAGTGAAGAAAAACTTGTGTAGAGTTTTGCTTACTACTGGACTTTGTTGAGTCACACTACCATTCAATCAAAACTAGCCACATATAGAAAGTCTTGAATATAACTTTTATTATTTTTTATATTTAAAACTCTCATAACTATTATCACTTCGTAATACGATCTAGTAATAATCCTCTTCACTTGTAAGTAATAGGTCTTATATTCAATTCTTACCAAAAACAAATTTGAACAATATTATTGCTAACTCGAGGCGAAGCCCCAAAAAAAAAAAAAAAAAAAAAAAAAAACCTCTTAACTATTTTTCCTAGAGTCCCAGACAAATTTTTCTCCAGAGTGGGGCCCATGGAAACCAAATCTTCTAATATATATATATATATATATTTATTATTATTATTAAGGGTAGTTTCGAACTCGTAATGCATGGGTTGAAACCCACCACTCTATTCATTAAGACACAGAACCACATGCAAATCTTCTAAAATATATTATATGAAGCAATAGCCCTGAAACTTGCAAAGATTGAAGATTTAATTGAGGAAAGATGTGTAAAAGTTTCCAATATATCAAAAGCCCAGCAAAGAGATAAAAGGCACAGTCCTTTCTTCCTCCTTTGTCTTCCCCTATGGCTGCCTAATATATATATTTTTGGCAAGCCTTTATTATATAGTCAAAGATGGGGAAAAAAAAAAACTAAAAAGAGAAAGAAACTATTTAAAGAATTAATAAACAAAAAAACAGAGCCAAAGATTTGATTAACAAAAACACATCAATCCTTGTGCATGCTCAGGCTAGCCACTCCGCATCAATCCCTTCAATTTCTCCAATGTCCATGCTGCAAGTAACTGAAATTAGTAAAACTTATCAAATTGTCTTGTTTAATAGTACGGCCATGCAATAATATGATCCTCCTTAAGTAACAACCAATATTTCAAAGAAGTGAATTGAATTCCTCTGGTTCAGTCAAACTAATGCAGTCATTAGTAGAAAAAGCTTGTGACTAGCTGACATAGGCATGTAGACTTAGAAACAAAAATTCCATTGGGCTAAGGCTCAAGTTTGATAATTTTGCGTCCTTAGGGTTTATCACTCGATTTTTTATATACAACAATATTTAAATTACGGATGAATAAATAAATTAATATCGAGCTCGTTTTTTATAAACTTTAGGCTTAACTCTTTTCCCTCGTAACTAAGTTACAAAATTTAGACAATTTCTCGCTCAAACTTAAGGAGGCAAAAGAAAAGAAGAAAACACAAACTTATTGATTGCATTTAAAATCCTCTGACGAAGAGTGTTGCTTTGTACTCGATTGTATAATCTTTATGATGAGGAGAAATACGGAATTGGGAGATTGAAATGTCCCGAAACTGGTTGTACACTGTTACAGTCAAATTGAACTCCCACAGCTCTCAACAAAGCTTTTGGCCAGAAAAAAAACCCCTCAATTGATCAAGCTGACTTAAAAACTAAAAAAGAGACGCTGATGGGACAACAGAAACTGTGGCAACAGCACTTTCTCTTGGCCTCCCACGTATTTTAATGGCCAGCTCTACGAATGACAACAAATAATGTGGCAATTGGTTCGGTCCAAAAAAAAATCCAATTACTAATTTTCAGAAAAATCCAAAACGAAACAGATTCTAATCAAGCAATCAATCACTCAAAATATTTTCAATTCGGCAGAAAAAATAAATTAAAAAATTGAAGATGAAAAGATAAAAAACAGTTTCTGAGTTTGCCAAGATAATTTGTTGGTTCTTACCAAGGCAAGGCAGGATCTTGAAAATAATCGTCTGAGTAGCAATCATTCAAATGATCATTCTGAAAACCGTTTTCATTTGCGTTCAACCAGGCTGGAAATTCCATGACTTCATCAAACGGATGGTGGTATCCATCGTCATCGTCCTCATCCTTCACTTGCGGGCCCCCACCGAGCTCCATGGCCTTCAAGAACTTAAACCACCATGCTGACGTGACCAAGTTCATGGTGTCGTTCCACTCTATCTGGTGCTGCTCTCCTATCGATCTGATCTCTGCCATCTCTTTGTCGTCCATTGCTGCATGCATGCCATCTCCGCCAGTGATTGTGATAACCCCGGCGGAGTCAACAGCATCAGCCACCGCAGGAGCATCCTCCGCTTCAATATGGGAAGTGAAAGAAGCTCCTGCAGCTGAGGTCAGAATTTCAGGATCGGTAGTGGTAGCAGAGAGAGTGGGGGAAGAAGATGACGAGGGAGATGAGGTGGAGGCGGAGTAAATTGACGGGCTGTTGGTGTGGTGGTAAAGGGTTGTGTTTATGTTGTTGAAATCTTGGAAGTTGAGGTTGAGGCCAAGGGTTTGGTTTGGAAGTGTGAAATCAAAATTTTCATAAGGTGGTGGAGGTGCAATTGTGGAAGGAGTCCAAGAATAAGGATTTGAATATTGATATGGATTTGGATATTGGTAAGAAAAATCAGAAGAGAAGGGCGGAGTTTCCTGGTAATTCGACCCGCTTGACGGGTAGATTCGAGGGTTCCTCCTCGATTTGATCCTCGCTTCTTGTTCTAAGCGAGGTCGAGGGGTTTGTGGCTCAAGTGGCTGCTGCTCCTGAGGTTGTTGGTCTTGTTGTTTCTGTTGTTCAGTGGCTTGTTTCATAGCTGCCCTATGAAACTTGAGGGCAGTGACAATCTCTCTCCTAGCCTCAGCCATGTTCAAAAGCCTCTCTTGGTAGGGCCTGCTGGTGTGGAGTCTTCTCCTCACTTGTTTTTTGTGTTGTTGAGGCTGGTGGGGTTGTTGGGTGTGTTGCCGGGTTTCGCTAAAATTATCATCTCCAAACTTGACAGTGGTTTGACTTGGGATCCCGTCACAGTTCAGGACGATGTCCTTATTGGGGTTCATGGTGGATCTTGAAGAGGTGAGTTGTTTCACTAGGCTACGGATGTAAGCACCAGAGAGATGATGAGGCTCCTCTTTGAGCTTACTGAGTTTATCTAATTCCATTAATTGTCTGGTTTTCTGGTTTGAGGATCGACTCAGCTGCCTCATCCCTCTCACAAATTTTAGCTGTAAATAGTGGGAAATGTAGAAGGAGGTGGGTGGGTTGAGAGAATCATGGGGTTTTTCCTAAATTCTGAAGAACAAAGTACACACTGTGCAGATAAGCACAGGTTGATCCGGAGAAGTCCGGAGGAGCTATAAATAGCGGAGGACAGTCTAGGGTTTTTTGGATTTTTCTGTGATTTGGCAAACCTCTCATTTGTTACAGTTTCATTAAATTTGCTTTAAATGGGCAGTTAGGAAAGTTGGCCTTGATAAAAGTTTTCAATTTTTTTTTTTTTTCAATTGTAATTACCACCAAAGATTCATGTTAATTAGTTTGGTGATATTAGAGAGGTTATTTACTTGAATTGTATTATGTAATTATTTGAGGTGGCGATTCATGGTTATTTTCCTTTTTTAAAACTTTTAAAAGATTAATCATCAACCGTTACAAAATATGATCTATAAAATATGATTCTCCACATTTTCTTAATTAGTCTCTCCTTTTTATTAGCTTAATTTTAGATTGATTAATCAAATTTTTAGACCAAATTTACAAATTATGTGTGTAACAAATAAGATATAAACATGTTAATCAATAATAATCAATCAACTACTACTGTAACATCCCAGTCCCGACTCCGCCATAGCACGATATTGTCCGCTTTGGGCCCCAGTCATGCCCTCACGGTTTTGTTTCTGAGAACTCACGAGCAACTTCCCAGTGGAAGGCACATCACCTCTTCTCTGTTGGTCGACGAGTGATGTTACAATCCACCCCCCCTTAGGGGCCCAACGTCCTTGTCGACACACTCACACCACGACAGAGTGGCTCTGATACCATTATGACACATCCCAGTCCCGACTCCGCCGTAGCACGATATTGTCCGTTTTGGGTCCCAGCCACGTCCTCACGGTTTTGTTTCTAGGAACTCACGAGCAACTTCACAATGGCTCACCCATCCTGGGATTTCTCTCATCCGAACTCACTTAACTTCGGAGTTCCGATGGAACCCAAAACCAGTGAATTCTCAAAAGGCCTCGTGCTATATCGAGGTGGGCATGTACATATAAAGCACATCACCCCCTCTCTGTTGATCAATGTCAGATGTTACAATTACGCCATATAATTTATAAAATATAATTTAATAGATGATCTCCTTCAGATTATCCAATTAACTACTTTCTATTCCCTGCAGAACATTCTTTCAGAAAAAAAGTTCCTTTTACCACTAAAGATGGGAAAATACTAAACTCGAAGTCCCCATGTTCGTCTTAATGATTAAGCTTTCTTTATTTCCTAAAATAATTGTTTATATAATGCAAGATGGATGTTTTGAAATCTTCAGTTGTATATTCTTTTATATATATTTCTCTCGTTAAGTAACGTAACATAAATAAAGATATGGACAATAAAGAATAAACAAAAAATTACAAGGCACACTGCTCTACCACTAAGTAATTTATGAATCTTAGTTCAAGTGACATGAAATGAAAAGACAAAGATACAAAACCTACATCCGAATCATCGCATAATTTAGGGAAATGAGAATAATAAGCATGCTGGATCTCATTAAATCAACATTAACATAGAATTAAACCTATTTCAAATTATGGTAAGTAGATGGAAGCCTAACAGAACAAATTCTAGTGCGAAAGCTAAGGCCATATATATAATTTCGACCATATCGTTCTGCAGCGATTTTTGCCGTGCACAACTTGGACATTATTCAACATATAGCCTCGATCACTCGAAAATATTTAATTTTCTCAAATTGATTCGTGGGAAGTTTGGAAGATTGTCCATGAAAATGATAACAGATGGAGCTGGCATGCATGCAACACCAGGACATAAATTCACACAATATATATGCAAGCCACAGCCCAGAGACACCTCCCTAACAATTGTTGTATAACGTGTGCAAATAAATAATCCATAGCAGGAAATAAGAAAAATGAAGGAAAACAAAAAAGAGAGAAAAGAGAATACAAATTCAATTGACATCAATATGTTTCGTTTATACTATGTTTGGATGAGAGATTTAAAGTTTTAAGAAACTTTAATCTCAAATGGTAAAAATGCACTACAAAAAGAATCTGAAAGAACTACTCAAACACTACAAACGTACTACTAAATCAACTAAAAATTCGTAAAGATACTAAACTAATGAGTTTCTGAATGATACTTCCCAGATAGTCATTTTTGGAATCTCCATATAATTTTTATAATGCATTCCTAACAAATTTAACCTAAATTTCATAGAATTTCAAAGTCCCTCGTCCAAACGCACCTTGTTTCTTTGATGATCATTGGTAATGTAATTTGCTAGTAATTAACTCAAGACATAGAGGACATTTCAGGCATAAAACTATTCAATGGTGTTCTGGTATCTTGTCTGCAAGTAAAACGGGACCGTGCTCTAAAAACGTCAGCAGAAGCCAACACAAAGACTGACAGAAGAATCTCCATTACTGTTGTAACCTTCATATATATTACAAAACTTCTGGTTTTTGGCGGAGAAAGAAAACCATCCAAATTTTCTGTTTTAAACAAGTTGTTCAACTTGATTTGAATCTGTTGATGAAACAAAGAACTTGGACCTTTTGGCATTTGCAAAGCCATGCCACATCATGTTCAAGACAGAAATGCTCCATACCTCCCTCTCTCTAAACCTTCTCTCAAATTATTCGTTCTTTTTTTTTTTTTTTTTTTCACTTTGTTACTGCACTTTCTAATCAACTTTCTCACTGTCATTCTGTACTTTAATTGGTGGTTACAGAGGCATGGCTTCTTTGTCTCATATAAGACTTTACCAGAAGCCGTTACCACGGGGAAAATAATTAATATTGCACATCTTTTTTCTTTACTCATTGCATTAAACAAAGTAAAGGATAACTAATGACCAAAATTAAGAAGGATATGTACAAAGTGTGCCAAAATCACTTCGAATGACAATGAAAACCAAAGTATGAAAGAAACTTACTTACACCTAAGATGTCATGGCGACATTGATATTTCAGGATATCTCAATCGCATGAAAGTTATTCTCAACAAAAGTAATTTAACAAATCAACAATCTTAGATCTTTACAAAATCCTTACACTGACAATGTTTGCTTTTAAGACTGAATTATATCTGTTAAATCAATCCATAAAGAGAGGGAAGACATCCTCATATCTGTTTGTTGGAGGACTTTTAGGTACATTTTTGGGCGTCAACACTGTTCAAACAGTCCCTTGAATTATTTCACTATGTCAGAAATGTCTAGTAGCCATAGACTATATGCATGAGAGCAACTCCACTGTATTCAATAGCTCGGTGGACAGGATGAATTTCCTACCCAATTGCCCTAGCTACTTGCTCCTGCCCATGAGGGCGATTGGATTGAGGGGGCCCGAGTGCCTGAGGCCAGATGATGCAAGGGTGATGTCAGCCACGTTATTAAAAAAAAAAAATTACGCCAGGCACGTGTCGCACACTTAAGCGTGGGGGTGCGTTACCGACAGCTTTTCAGTCTGTGGGGCCCACGATCCAGAGGTATGAAATGCTACCGTTTGTGGGGGCACATGGCACATTCTCATCCGTTGGATTTCAACGGATAAATTTTTTGGACCATTGGATTTCCAACGGCAAACAAAAATTCAAACCTCCCCCCAACGACTAGATGATGTGGCACAATATCATTCGTTGGATTTCAGATCAACAGTCCACGTTATTCGCCTTTAAAAATAAGAAAAAAAGGAAAAAGAATTAGATATATTACTATTGTGCCACGTGGCACAATCTGGAGGGTTGAATGTCAAAATTTTTTTTTTAATCCAACGACAGAAATTAATTAAGTTAATAAAAAATTAATAAAAAAATCCGAAAAAAAAAAAAATTACTTTTCTATAAATACCTTCTCATTATCTTCTACCTTACACCACAATTTCATATTTTCTCAAATACTTTCAACCATATCCAATATTTCTCTCGAAGTTTCAATCCAATTGGTTTCCAACAAAAGGACTAATGATGTAGGTACGAATTGGATGCTTATTAAAGCTGGGTTGAAGTTACTCATGATTCAATTACGGGTAATGAGATGCAGTTGCGAGAAATGATGAGTCTTATTCATACCCTTTTTCTTGAGAAAATTGGTGGGAAAAGAACTAAAGAATCGATGTCCAGTCATTGGAGAATAAATATTCAGCCAATCATTTAGTCATTGGAGAGATGCCTTGGCACAAACTAGTATTAATATTCAAAGTAGGGAAAATTTCACGGATCAGGTAACAATATATTATTTATTTGTTTGTACTATATACAAATTTACATTAGCTACTTTGATTATAATTATTTCTTCTCCCACATTGTGTAGACGCTTCAAGCACAAGCTTGGTATAATGCCAAAAGCAAAACCAAAAGCAAAAACAAATCATTCACCCGATGAGAATGTTGGAATATTGTCAAAGATTGTCCTAAATTCAAAGTTGTGCTTGTCGGTCCAGAAGTTGTCATGAATAGCACCCCTCTACACTCTACGCCCGATCATCACTGGCATGTTCATGAAAGTGACACAAAACAAGTGTCGGAAGCGACCCTTGAACAAGGGTCGGGGTCGACCCGTTATCCAATTAGGCCTTAAGATAAGAAGGCATCAAAGAAAAAATGGAGTGCTTCCAAGAATGATTATGCAAAATATATGGAAGAACTTGCTCGCCAAGGTGAATTGACTTTGGTGCGGGAAATGGCTAAATTTAAGGCTGATAAGGTTAGAGATAAGGCAAAGCTACAGCTGCTAAGAGATTATTTCAAACTAATGAGAGAGAAAGATAGCTACTTAGGCAAGAAAGGGAAGAGCTTAAAGAAGAAAGAAGGGCTCAACAAGATCGTGACATTATGAAGGAGCCTGTAGAGGCGATGTCTCCTGAATTCTAAATATTTTTGGAATTCGGAGAAAGCAGACATGATGCGAAGGAGGTGTGCAAGAAAAGCGAGAGCAAGAAAAGATGGTCCTAGCATCACAAATTGGTTAGGTGATGATTTTCCATTTACAAGGGATTAGGGAATTTGTTTTTAATCAGAGCCCATAATTTTCCAATCACTTTGAATTGTAATTTCTTATTTATTGAATAGAGTACTTTTATGTTGTTTCCAATTTATTGAATTTAGTACTTTATTTAAACTAAGAGTATATTTATTGAATAGAGTACTTTATTTAAACTAACAGTGCATACAATCGATGGTTCCAATCATCCCAGGTAAACCTCTCATCTCGCCCTTCTTCAAAAACATTTGCAAGTCCATCTTAGTAGGTCTTCAGAGGTGCTTTGTGGTGTAGATGATTCGATTGCAGAGCAAAACCTCATAAGGAACTCAAGAATGGTTGATTTCCCCATCCTCGCTATCTTATCCACTTGGTCCGCAGATGCTCCATATGCAAACATCCGCAAGGCAGCAGTAATTTTTTGCTCATGAAGAAGACCCATAACACCAAAAGCATCCTTCTTTTGCACAAAGTAAGAATCATGGTTGTAAACAACAATCATGATTTTGTTGAACAAATGTCGTTCCATTCTAAAATGATGTCTAAAGTACGTATCAAGGAATGCACTACTACGGACAAAATAATCATCCAAGAGATCCGTATCTCGTTGTTGCCTACTTCTATCAATGTTTGCAAAACGGTTAGGCCTGGAGATTTGAACCACAACTTGGATAACTCGACGGGAATGTGAGGCTCTTTGGCTTCTTGTTTCGTCATCTTTCCTTCTACGTTCCTCATCCTCTTTATCTTCCATTTCATTTTCGCCCACCTGGAGATTGAACATTTCTTCCCCTTGCTTAAACAATTATTTCTTTTGCTCATCGATTTCCTGCAA